CTTAGTAGTATTTCAAATATCCTGTTGTTGCAGTGTATTGCAACGAATCAAGAACGTATAAGAAACTAGATGTAGGATGTCGACTGTTGTCGTCTACAGTGCGAGCGGTATTTTTGAAATATAAATATATGGTGCAATTCAAGTATTTTGAAACAGATAAAAATGGTTCCAGTATTTTTAATTTTACAACAATATGGTGAGAAATGCGCGAAGCATTTATATATATATATTATATATATATATATATATATATATAAATATGGTTCATGTTGCTGAATGCAGAAGCTCAAAAATATATTTATTCGCGTACGTGAACTCGTACAGTGTCTTTTGAGAGGAGGTGCTGGAGCTCTCCAATAGCTGTAGATTTCTTGGATTGAATTTTGTGATGGCTTGAATCAGCATCTCGTTTTTGCTTCCATAGCTAGAAACAGCTGGTTTTGCAAGTCTCCTCCCCCAAAATAGTTTGAATGTTAGGGATTTTCGTTCCCCTGATGAAACGTTTTGGCCTTGTCTTCCGAATGCTGAAAAGAAATGGTTTCAGACTCCAAATGCTGAAAAGAGACTCCGAATGCTGGAATCTGACACCAAATTGACGCTGATGCTGAAATGAAATGTAGTAGTCGGGGGATTCCAGATTCCAGGAGTGATCATCCTTGATCGACAACAAGAATGTCAAGCTGGAACAGCGATGCTGACTCGAGTTGAGATTGACGACGAGCTATTTTGACAAGCGCCAGGTCAAAAAACCGTTAAAATATTCAAGAACCGAATATTCATTTCCAACCCGCTGGAGAACCAGGAATCCCGTCTTTCCCTTGCCACTATATCAGAAAATTACCCCAGTATGTTGTGGTGTTAACAACCTGGAACACTTGCAGAAACGTGTTGGGGGACAACGCTTTCAGGAACACCATGATTTCCCCTTCACTGCGGGGAGATGGGGGAAAACATGTTTTAACGCTTTGCTCTTCGTTCTATTGTCAGAAATCAATATTCATATCATACGTGTGATGTTCGTAGGCATTGTACAGAAATGGGAGTATTTTTGTGTTTTTTACGCTTTTTGACGATACTTAACAAAATAGCTAAAAAATCTCTATTGTACCACCAAAGTGTTTTGACACGTCAACGAAACGTTTTAAAATGTCGTAAAAACGCCAAAAAACCAGTCGACGACAAACTCCTGTACTTGTACCTCCGTTTTCTTGACAGCAAGAGTGTCGTTGGGCGTCTGTTCAGCGTCTCCACCTTTACATTTTGCCCACGACTGCTGCGGCTTTGCGTTCCCAAGCTTTGATGGACACAGTATGGAGAATACAGCACGTGAAGTTTGTCAAAACTCGAAAATCCGGAAAAAACGCAAACTTCAAAAGCCCGTAACTCAACACTGCGGCAACAGATTTTCAACTACTCAAGTACTAAAAGTATCCTTTTTACCTACTCTTGCATGCTGTTGTGAGCAAATGTACTAACAACAACTTTGATGCAAGAAAACACCTCTTGAAGTTTGTCTTTTTTTTTGAAAACGTTTTAAACCGTTTTGAGAACAGTTGCAACACTTTTTTGACACTTTTTTAATGTACCACCAACATGGGTCGGCTGGCTTTGATATACTTATGGTGACTTCCACTGACGACTTGAGGGAACGGGAGCTTATGTTGGAACCACACTGTTTGATGCCCGTCGTTTGGTGGGTTTGGACGGTAGGCAGAGATCACCACCAAGTCGTGCTGGCCAACGCCTCATGTTCGGCCCTGAAGACGTATCCAAGCCCATCGCCCTAAGCTATCGTCGCCACTGGACCGCACTCGGTGAGATACTTTGTTGAAGGCAGAAGTCGAGCAGCCCCCAAATTGAGTGGTAGAATGGGCCGCCCGTGGTTGATGGGTATTGTAGGCCACCGCCAAATGGAAACCTTCGCCCTTCCTAGCCATAGTGCTGGCACGTTCACGCCATCGGTTGGTTGGTGTAATTGCTGGCCAGAATTTGTTCAATTCAGCCAGAAGTAACAAGTCCACACATTCGCTTCGAATCCAGTGGTTGAGTTGTGCTTGTTTTGGGTCGTCTGACTTGTCGGGAATAGTGTTAATATTCTGGAAGGCGAGTCGGGCGGAACCCGGTGCACGAACAAGATGGTTGTCACCAAAACCATCTCCTGGAAGGAAGGAACTTAAAAGGGAATCAAGAGAGGTGTGTGGAGCCGCTCTTGACCGGTTGCTGGTGATAAACGATCTATGCCTGTTCCGCCGCAACCGAG